GGGGGGGGGAAGGGGAGGGGATGTGGGAGTTGGGGGGGGGGAGAGAAGATGTGAGTGGAAGGGATGTAGGGGATAGAGTAACGGGGTAGAGATGGGGAGGGGGGTGAGTTTGGGGGAAGGTGGGAGATGTGTATGGGCCACCCCAGGGCTTCTTACCTGTCGCGGTTCCGCCTGCTCAAAGGACGCCATCTTTATGGACCAGAGCAACCGATCATAGCACGGTCGCTCTCCTGCGCCCAAGGCGACAATATCGATCGCAGATCCCCTCAATCACCAACGACAAGGACAAAAACATTACTTTTTTTTGTAAAAATGAATTCCAGTGGAGATTTCTAAAATCCTAACCTGATGTAAAATTGTGGATTATATCCATAACATACAGAAAATTAACAGAAGGTTGGGGACCGAAGCATTATGGGAGTTGTAGTTTTCATTGAGGATTGGCAAGCTCACACGAAGACCGTCGCTTTATTTTTTTCTCATACTGAACTTTTTTTAATGTTTTTAAGTTTCCGACAATCCACAGCCATGGCTATAATTATTTTTCTCCCTCGTTAATTCAATCGGAAAAAAAGTTGTCGGTTTGGAGCGCATGCGCAATAATAGCTACCCACTACTACAACAACAACTGGGAAGGACGGTATAGAACCTCTGCGGGAGGAGGGAATTGTATATTTATATTTCTTTTCGGTGTCAGTTGTCTGTCCTAGTGCCTTTTGTTGCCATCAGAGGACTCTCGAAGTGCAGTTACTGTAGGAAACGCAGGGACAAGGTTGTGCACAGCAAGATCCCACAAACTAATGTGAAAAGCTACCAGATGATCTGCTTTTGTGATGTTGATTAAGGGATAAGTGTTGGTCAAGGCGGGGGCTCCTCACCTGTTAGTCTTAAGGTATCTAGACCATTCGCGTTCGAGAGCAAACCAGGTCCCTATCTGCCTCACTCCTGGAAAGGGCAGGGGGTGTTCAGCCATGGATGAGGAAAGAAGATTTCCCTGCAAAATCTGTGGCTCCAGCCGCCTTCAAACGTTCGGCGTCGTCGTGAAGTCTTTGGAAGATCTGGTAGCCAAAGGTAACTGATCAGAAGCCCTTGTCACCTTGGTGCACAAGCGAAGCTAGAAGGACTGTCAGTGTTTGGTATGCTGGCTCCCTGGCCTCATCCCATTTTTTAACTTCCATCGGATGGGGAGGTAGGCCACGAGCAACAGGGTATATGTAGCAGGTGTGACACCTTAATAACAGTCATGTAAAGTCAATCCAGGAGGCTCTTGTGGTGTAGTGGCAGTGTCCCGACCCCTGGGCCAGGATGCTGTGGGTTCAAATTCCACCTGCTGCAAAAGTGTGTAATAACATCTCTAAACAAGTTGATTAGAAAATATCTAAGTCCAATTAAATGAGGCCATTAAGATTTGTCTTGTGCTGTTCCACCTTCAAAATCCATTTTTAAATTTAGTGCCTAAAACATTAGGATAGAGTGAGTCTGTGTTGAAGTATGCATTCCTTATCCAGTTTTATTGTTCCTGTCAAACTAGAAGGCTTGCTTCTAGCTTTGGAGCCCACTAAGCACATCTCCAAGCAAGTTAACTGAGTGCCCATGAAGGTTGCAAAGAGTGTTCTGAAGAAGTCATTCCGGGTACAAAATGTTAACTCTGTTTCTCCACAGATGCTGCCAGATCTACTGAGTTTCTCCAAATCCTCGGTCTATTGCTTTGTTAGAAACAGTGTTAATTTCTCAAGTTAGAAAACATCTATTATTACAGATTTATTTTTGTTACAGATCTGTACTTGTGATTTTAATTTACAGCCTCCAAGCTTTCTGTCTGACCTGTCCCAATAGATGGAGCTGGTTTACGGCAAAAAGAAGCTTTGTACTTTGGTTTGTAACTCATGGACTTTGAATCTAATAATCTTGCTTGTATAAATATTGAAAAAGATTTAAGTCACTTGCAATTACCCACTCAAAATAAATTTGGCTGGGTTATAAAGGGTTCTGACTGTCTTGACGTGGATAGCATGATGCTTGCAGAGTTTGCCTCTTTTATCCTAACTGTTTTTTCATTGTACTACAGCAGGATGTTGAAATGACCCATCTTGATGTATAACATGTACGTATTGTTCCAATGAGGCTCATTGTAAGCTTGAGGAACCGCACCCACTTTGTGGCTAGACTCGCAGAAGAGAGGGCTAAACTGTGAAATTTTGAAGGTTGAGCATTGAAAGAGAGGAAATATTAAAGGATTTGGTGTCTTTGAAAACAGATAAATTATCAGGCCTGGATGAAGTGTACTTCAGGTTCAAAAACAAAGTTGCTGGAAAATCTCAGCAGGTCTGGCAGCATCTGTGAAGGAGAAAACAGAGTTAACGTTTCGGGTCCAGTGACCCTTCCTCAGAACTGATGGTGGCTGGGAAATGTCAGTTTATATGCAGAAAATAGGGAGGTGGGTGGGGTAGGGAGTAAACGATAGGATAGAGCCCAAAGAGAGAGAAAGACAGTTGGACAGACAAAGGAGTTGCTAATGATCAGGCTGGGAGGGTGAATAGTTGTTAATGGGGACTGTTAGTGACTAACAACAGTGGGTGTATAATGGCAGGCTGTGTGGTAACGAGGCCTGGTGTGTGGGGTAGGGGCTGGGACATGGGAGAGTTTAGGCCCTAAAATTATTGAACTCAATACTGAGTCTGGAGGGCTGTAGGGTCCACAAGCAGAAAATAAGGTGTTGTTCCTCCAGCTTGCGTTGGGCTTCACTGGCGCACTGCAGCAAGACAGAGACAGAGATGTTGGCCAGGGAGCAGGGTGATGCATTGAAGTGGCAGGCAACAGGTAGTTCAGGGTCTTTTTTTGCGAGCAGAACGTAGATGTTCTGCGAAGCGGTCGCCAAGTCTACGTTTTGTTTCCCCATTGTAGAGAAGACCACATTGTGAGCAGTGAATGCAGTAGACTGGATTCTGGGAAGTGTAGGTGAAGTGTTGCTTCACCTGGAAGGTATGTTTGGGCCCTTGGATACTGGGGAGGAAGGAGGTAAATGGGCAGGTGTTGCACCTTCGCCGGTTAAAGGAGAAGGTGCCGTAGGGAGGTATTGGGGGTGAAGGAGGTGTAGACCAGGGTGTCCCGGAGGGAACGGTCCCTGCGGAAGGCAGACAAGGGAGGGGAGGGGAATATGTGTCTGGTGGTGGCATCTTGCTGGAGGTGGCAGAAATGCGTCTGATGATCTTCTGGATGTGGATGCTGGTGGAATGGTAGGTGAGGATAGGAGAACCCTATCGCTGTTGCGGGAGGGAAGAGAAGGGGTGAGGGTGGAAGTGCGGGAGATGGGTCGGACCTGGTTGAGGGCCCTGTCGACAACAGAGCTGGGAAATCCTTGGTTGAGGAAGAAGGTGGACATTTCGGAGGCTCCCTTGTCAAAGTTGGCCTCATCTGAACATGTGAAACGGAGACCGAGGAACTGAGAGAATGGGATGGAGTCTTTACAGGAAGTTGGGTGTGAGGATGTATAGTCCAGGTAGCTGTGGGAGTCAGTGGGTTTGTAATGGATATTAGTGGCCAGTCTATCCCCAGAAATGGAAACAGAAATGTTGAGGAAGGGAAGGGAGGAGTCAGAGATAGACCAGGTGAAAGTGAGGGCAGGGTGGAAATTGAGGGCGAAATTGGTAAAGTTTTCCAATTCCAGACGAGCGAGGGAAGCAGCACCGATGATATCATCGATGTATCGGAGAAAGAGTTGTGGGTGGGGGCCGGAATAGGACTGAAA